GCATTTTCATTTATTGGTCCACATACATCTGTATGTATCAATCCCAGTATGTCAGCAGCTCGTACACTATGTCCCACAAAAGGCGCTTTGGTCATTTTTCCTAGAAGACATGCCTCACAAGCCGAGTATGGCTCAAACATTGATGGATCAATATATCCATCATTACTCAACTTGTTGATTCTATCTTCTCCAATATGACCTAATCAAAGATGCCAAACATACTTTGGGTTTGGACTATCTCTAGGGCGTTTATTAGTTACGGCATTTATATCATTATTTTGTTGCTTATCGGCATTGGTAATCGCATTACCGGACATTGTAATGGTATAAAGATTATTGGTTAATAAGCCAGAACCAACACATCTCCTTTTATGATAAATAGAACATACATCATCAGCAAAAGAAAATTCATAATTCTCTTTACTCAAACGAGGTATAGAGATGATGTTCCTAACAGCATTCTCATAATGCAAGTAATTTTTCAATACCAATACATATCCAGAAGGCAAACATAAATGAAAAGTCCCTACAGCTAACGCAGCAACTCTTGCTCCATTTGCAAATGTTAGGACAATTTCATTTCGCCCTAGCATCCTGCTTATTTCCAAATTCTGCAAAGACATACAAATATGTGAGGTTGCAGCAGAATCTAGAACCCATAAGTTGGATTCAGCACTAACCATAAGATTAGTTTCAATAAGCATAGACACCATACCTTCGCAAGGTTGGTCTTTAGGCTTGACCTTCAAGCTCGCGAGGTACTTCCTGCAGTTCCTCCTCCAGTGCCCTTTGACACCACAGTAGTGACAATTCCCTTTTTCAACCTTGGGCTAATTTCACAGCATGTTTCATAGGCCTCTTCCATTTCTTTTTCTTCAAAACAGTCTTATTCTTTGAAGAAGAAGCCTTAGCCATAGCCACCACATTGGGCCTCGTGTTGTGCATTTCCTTCTCATAAACTACCAACATGCTATGTAACTCAGCAAGAGTTTTCTCCATTTTGTGCATGTGGAAGTTTTGGACAAAACCAGAGAAGGAATCGGGCAAAGATTGGAGGATAAAATCCACAGCTAACTCATTATCCATAACAAGATTAAGCCTAGCCAACTCTTCTATGTGCCAGATAATTTTCAAAGCATGATCATTAACCGATGATCCCTCAGCCATCCTCATACGATACAATGCCTTAGATATCTCATATCTAGAGGTTCGACCATTCTCATCAAAATATTCTTTTAAGTGCAAGATGATCGACCTAGCATCTTCCATAGTTTCATACTTCTTCTGCAATTCATTATTCATTGAAGCAAGCATGTATGACCTAACTTTTAAGTCATCATCACGCCATTTATCATACGTGACACGCTCCTCTTGGGTCCCACCCTCAGGAAATGAGTCTGGCATCTTTTGATCAAGCACATACCCGATTTTCTCCGAATTGAGAACAATTCTCAAATTTCTCACCCAGTCAGTGAAATTGGGTCCAGTCAAACAATTCTTGTCAAGTATAGAAGCGAGTGGGTTTGTGGTCACCATTTTCAGAGTAATAATATATCTGTGCAGAAAATAAATTGTTAGCCGTTGTCTTTCAAAATAACCATTTCATTTTGGCCTTTAAATGAAATAGTGCCTCCCACTAAATTTTTCGAATCCCATACTCCTTAAAATGGGAAAACGGTAATCTTTGTTGGGTAAAGATTACTAGTGGGGATTGGAGTCCCACCAAGCCATAGCCCACCTCACCTAATAGTTATCGGTGTTCCATTAACTTAGTGAGTGAACTAACTTGTTCAACGCATCATATGCGAGTCCCAATCATAACTTTGACCTCTAGATCATGAATGTCTCACTTGACAGTTATTGACATCATGATCATAGTTAAGCCTAGCCCATCATCTCATGTAAGTATTGAAAACACAAACGATCCCCTCACCTAACAGTTATTGGAAATCATTTGGCTCCAACCCCACAACATCATATGCATAATGGAGTGATCCAATATTATAAATGGCAATTGACCCCTATGTATCCATAGACGGTCAATCAACTACTATAATGTTGGACCAAACCATGACGATGGAAGGCCACGAGTCTGAAACCCGTTTCGACTTAATATAATTAATAAGGAGGTTTGGGTCGTTATTAATGGTCTCACTTTGCACATTAACCGGTTTAACATGCATAACAACTGAATAAATAAATAGATATCAAATGCATAAAAATCTATCCTACGTGGTGATCATGGAATTATGGCTCAATGGGTCTCGAGCCAATGAGTCCCATTTAGCCATTTTAATGTTTTAATAATAGAGATCCGCTCTTCACTTCTTCTTGGATCCTTGAACTCTTCACGGACCGGGCCCATAGACCTCTCCGGCTTAATGGCTCCTCCTCGTGTAATGTTTACATCAACAATTGATAATACTAAACTATACTAAAAAAAATACATTACATGGAAATAAAAAGAAGGACGCAGCCTCCATTTAATAATTACAACCCAAAAAATACCTGTAATCATCATACATTCATCCATACATCAATCATATTGATTAGAGGTTTTTCCATGATCACCACCCTTCCTCACGAGCCATAAATTCTAAATTTAAAGCTTTGGAAGGCACAAATAAAATTCTGCACTGAATCAATTCATGGCCGAGCAACGTAAGCCACGTCAAGAAATCAAAGCCGGTGAAACAAATTTCACGTGCGTGATTCCAAGTGACGGTAGCGTTGTCGCCTCTAGATTCATAGTCGTGAATCATTTTGCAGAAGAAAAAAGCAAAAAGAAAATAAGGTACGGATTTTTTATTCAAAATTGATTTAGTTCCGATTTTTGCTCAGTTGATCAAATTTATCATATAAATTAATCAACTTCTATATGCCACTTAAGAGCAAGCAATTCTCTCAACAAAGTAAATTGGCCATTGGATCGCAAAAATATATATGAACCAAAATCAATTAAACGCACGAGAACGCCTAACGATTGGCTCTGATACCACTGTTGGTTTTCACGGAACATGCATAGTTAAAATTAAATATAAACGCAGCGGAAAAATATAACCATACATGTATCTCCAAAGGCGTTGTTCGTGCGTTTCAATCAAAAATCGGAAAGACCATAGGGGTTAAACGAATTACCTTTCGTAGCGTGCCCAAAATGATTTCGGTTCGGATGTTCTTCAGTTCAAGCCCCACAAGTGTCGGACCTCTAGTTCAGACACACCACCAATCGCACGACGAACGGAAGGAAGAACTTGCGGGTAATCACCAATATAATTGTGCTAGCAATCTTGTGGCGACAATTCTCCGCACTCTCGATATTTCAGTCACGGCGTCAGAAGAGAGAACATGTTTTCTTAACTCTTACGAACACATAATAATTGCATACGCTTTTTCTTCATCGTTTTGCAACTGTTGTTGATCGCGCCATTAATAATGTGCGATTAGCAACAGTTGCTGATCGCATCATTAATAATGTGCGATCAGCAACAGTTGCTGATCGCATGTGTGCACGTTGCACACGATCAGCAACGGTTGCTGATCGTGTGTGTCATGCACACGGTCAGCAACCGTTTGTTGACCGTGTGCCATGCACATGGTCAGCGCTTGCTGGCCACGTGCATGCGACAAATTTTTTTTTTATATAAATAAATATAAACATGTATATACAAATACAGAAGTGCATGATCAGCATATGTGTATTTTGTGAGCATCATATGCACACACGCCCATGACAAAAATTGAATTAAATTAAATCCCATTTAATTTAATTTGAGTCCGACTCAATTCGATTGCAAACATATTTGCAATATTGTCTCTTCCGTACTACGTCATCCAAAATTGGTTATGGTGTGTGACATCCCTAGGTTCATCACTGAGCTGGTAGTAAGACTTGCACTAACACATTAGTACTCCCAAGAGAATTGATTGTCCCGATCAACCTCTAAGTCCTACAAGCCATGATTGACATCTAGCAATATGTCATGGCTACCCAGACAGTGTGAATGTTTTAAGAACATAATGAACCTATCAGCTTTGGTTACGGTGTAATTCAATCCCTCTGTCTTACTATATCCCGATCGAACAAAGACCATGGAATATTTGTCAAGTCACCAATTCGATCGTATGCACAAATCTAATTGACATGCACTTTATACGAGACATGGACAGTTCATTCTCGGTTACAACCCCGGCCGAGGATTTCAATGCATTGTCAAGATTAGATTGCATATGACATCATTATTGTACCTTGTGTATAACGAGGAGACAGATTCCATTTTGTGCACACGTGTAACTTCGTATGTGAACGAACTATGGCCATCAAGTACAGAGACGGATCAACGAACCAGCAATACGTGCACTTGTGAACCATAGCCATCCAACACACAAGTCAACACTGTGCCTCAGGTCTAAGGATTATTTACACAAGACCAGAGCATGAACGTTTAGGCATTGACCACGCTAAAAGCTTCCATGTTGCTAATCGTTATATGCGTGTCACGTTCAGTGAACTTATCTGATACAAACACCTGTGTTCTAGCTCGGGAATCGCAATATCCAATGACTCATGACTCGTCATTCCCTTAAGTATCCAATACTTGTTGGTGAAGTTATGAACACACCGGTCTCAACAAGATCATTAATATCCACTCAATGATCCATCGACCGATAACAATTTAAAGATTCAGTCTAACTATGAACATGTCACATATATTCTTAACGTCTCAAGAATAGGTCCAGTCACAACTGATCTTATGGAATCATTCATATATTCAAATAATTGGACAAATGAATGAATACGTCCTTGCCATTAAATAGATAATGTAATTGAAAGTACAACTTAAATCCCTAACATGTAACTGTTACGTGGTAACTTTAGAGCATACATCTAACACCCGGCATGTATCTCGCTTGCGAACGTCGGATCCGCCTAATAAATTTTTCAACCGGCGACGATGATCAGTCGATCTGAAATGAGAAGGAGATCAGAAGGAATTTTGCTAACAGCTGAGTTTGAATACCAAATACGCTGCATAAAGGGTTCTGGTCGACAGCATGCGAGGACTAATCGTGCCTCTGATTTCGAGCCGATATGCTTCCATGAGTTCAGCAACTTCTGCAAACCTGTTAATTCACAAGCACATTCCATACGATCATCACCTTGAGGGAGAAACAAAAGAAAGTTTATTTTGGGACAAACAAATTAATGCTACGCCCATTTTCTTCATGAAGGTGAGAGAGTGGAGGAAATAATGTAGTACCTGGAGTTGGGCATGTGATTCCAGGACCAGTTACTTCGAGTATCACCCCCTGTTATAGACAGGGCCCTCGCAGATAGCATGATACATTTCTTCCCGCTGTGCCTGTCCAGCGAAAAGCTCTGCGAAGCATGTTGGATTCACATCAGCAACAAGAACCCGGGCCGACATCGTTTTGAGCTAATGAGCAATGCTAACAAAGTCCGGGAGGATTTTGAGCAATAAACCCAAAATAAAAAGCAGACTCACCCCGAACTCCCAATCAACCATGAGGTAGCGGACAGTCTTAAAGCCATGTACAGATCACCCCAAAAGATGCATTGCATTAGTGGTCATCAAGGTACCATATCAACAGTAATGATAATCTTCATGCTCTTAGCACTGTATATTGAGTGATTCAATAGATCTATCCCATTCTTTGCTCCAACCATTTGAATCTTGTCATTTTCAGACGAAACATCCTTTCCTTCTTCTTCACCCTTCATTTGTCATTCTTTATCTCGTGGATGTAAACCATGAGTTGGCTCATACAATTCAATCAACCTTTCATATTCAGATCGTGGCTGGGTGCGAAAGAAAAATGTCCAGTGGAACCCACAGCACGATTATTATATGACAGTGGCTTCTCCTCGAAGAAACAAAATGCACTCGCTCGGTTCAGGCGGGAAGAGGCCAAGAAACTAGGGGTGATCATGGTTCCAACGGGTACGTTTCGTTACGGAATCTAGAACTGCTCACCCCTACAAGAAACATGTGCCAATGACACCGCCTTTCAATTCAACTACTCAGACAATGAAAGAACAAAGCCAAATTCACAGCGTTTCGAAACGCGCAGGCGACAGCACATCACATGAATCACATTTCAATATTCTATTTAATCTAACACGAAGAACAGTTATCGCGTATCACCCCCTCAATCCGCAAAGAAAACAATAATAATAATAGCAAACAGAATAGGAAGAGGCGGTTTGAGGTGGCAAGACGGAAGAGCCTTACCAATTTGCCGTCGTTGACGAGAACCGGGTCGTCGCAGAGGCTGAAGTAGAGCTCCTTCAGCGACGAAGCGCACCGGGAGACCATCGGGTGCCAGTCCGGTGGCAAGAACGACGCCCAGACCGCGTCAGAATCGCACGCTGACTTGAAAACCGGCGAGACGGATGCGAGCCTGCACGCGTCGGAGGGGCTCGTGAAGGAGACGACGCTGGCGATGCACCCCTCGGGCAGCGCGGAGAAGCCCGGACCGTCTCTACGCTTTGCTTCGGTCACGGCCATTAGAAGAACTCCAAAGAAATGGGGTGGACGCCTTTCGAAGAGAGACGATGGTGATTTAGAGCGTGATTCGTCGTGTTCATATATATATAGAGAGAGAGAGTTACAAGAACTCCGATAATGGGATAAATATGTTGGATTTTAGATGGATATACTTCCAAATAAAGTAAAAAAAAACTTAAGAAAGGAATAAATATATTGGATTTTAGATGGATATATTTCCGGATAAAGGTTGACCAAGATTGCTTCGTGTGCACGGCAAATCATATCTTATCAGAGAAGTAAACGAAAGGGTAACTCCACGCTTCCATGGGCTTAAAACACGAATGAAATTGTTGGGTTCGTATTAATATCTTTTTCTAAAACAAAGTAAAAGTTACTCTACAGGCACCATAAGAGTAAATCAAAACTCGAGCAAGAAGTTATGATAGGAAAATCCACAAATTGGCCTTATACTAATGAAAAAATATGGATTAGTTGGAGCCTATACTGATGAAAAAGAATAGTCGCTCTAAATTTTAGAGCGTGGTCAATCAATCATTTAGGTTTCAATCTAGTTTGGCCATACACGAATGGCTTTAGCTCGAGGAAGGCTCAAAATATAACATTATGAAAGGAAAGCTTGACAAATATGAGAAGATAAAAAGTATGGATATTTGCATCTTGGAAGTTGACATTACAATGGATCTTATTCTTATATCTATCGGTTTGTTTCTAAACTCCACAATTTGCTCCACCGGGTCCCCCAAACAACAAGGTATAGCCCATGAATTCATCGGCATTGTTGACAGCAGCGCCATAGCAATCTTCCGAACTCGTGTGAGTCGAAACTCGATAAGACTCGGGCACTTTCCAATCTCGCGAGCCGTCCATGTGTTGAATCTGTCTGAAATAGCACGCGTGCGAGTATGACTTGTCCGGAAAGTATCCGCTTCCCATAGGCGGGAAGGCCATATCTTTGGATGCGTATGTCACTCCTCCGTACTGCAGTGTGTAGGCGCCATACGTCAAATCAGGGAGCAGCTTAGCCGGCCAATAGCCCACGTTAATGAGGACGTTATCCATTTCGAATATTAACCACCAATCCTTTGTGTTCCCAGCTTAGCCGGCCAATAGCCCCTGTTGCAAAGTCAATCGTTAAATTATCGTTAGGTTGCGCTTGATAACGATTCTGTGCCCGGGAACAGATTCTGCTCAGAAATGATTCTTTTTTATTCTGTGCCCGGAATTGATTCTGAGCATTTTAAAGCGTTTATTAACGGTCCAAAATTCCATCCCTGGAATAGAAAAAGAACAGAAATGCGTTTGGTAACGCCACAAAATTTCTTTTTATTAATAATATTTTTAAATATTTTAATATTTCTTTCTTTTTTTCTTTTCTTTTTTTCTTTTCCTCCTTCTTGGCCATAGCTTGCTCGTCGGCCATGACCGGTAAAATATTTTTTTATTAATAATATTTTTATTAAAAAAAATTTTTCTTTTTTTGGCCATGACCTGGTCGCCGGCCATTACCGGTAAAATATTTTTTTTATTAATAATATTTTTTATTAAAATATTTTTATTAAAAATATATATTTTTATTTTTTTTGGCCATGGCCTGGTTGTCGGCCATGGCTGGTAAAATATTTTTTTTATTAATAATATTTTTTATTAAAACTATACATTTTTATTTTTTTGGGCCATGGCCTGGTTGCCGGCCATGGCCGGTAAAATATTTTTTTATTAATAATATTTTTATTAAAAGAATTTTTTCTTTTTTTGGCCATGGCCTGGTCGCCGGCCATTACCGGTAAAATATTTTTTTTATTAATAATATTTTTATTAAAAATATATATTTTTATTTTTTTTGGCCATGGCCTGGTTGTCGGCCATGGCCGGTAAAATATTTTTTTTTATTAATAATATTTTTTATTAAAACTATACATTTTTATTTTTTTGGGCCATGGCCTGATCGCCGGCCATGGCCGGTAAAATATTTTTTTTTATTAATAATATTTTTTATTAAAATATTTTTATTAAAAATATACATTTTTATTTTTTTTTGCCATGGCCTGGTCGCCGGCCATGGCTGGTAAAATATTTTTTTTATTAAAATATTTTATTAAAAATATATTTTTTTCTTTTTTTTGCCATAGCCTGATCGTCGGCCATGGCCTGTAAAATATTTTTTTTATTAATAAATTTTTTTAAAATATTTTTATTAAAAATATACATTTTTATTTTTTTTGGCCATGGCCTGGTCGCTGGCCATGGCCGGTAAAATATTTTTTTTATTAATAATATTTTTTATTAAAATATTTTTATTAAAAATATATATTTTTTCTTTTTTTGCCATGGCCTGATCACCGGCCATGGCAAGTAAAATATTTTTTTTATTAATAATATTTTTTATTAATAATATTTTTATTATATATATATATATATTTTTTTTTTTTATGGCCATGGCCGGTAAAATATTTTTTATTGATAATATTTTTTATTAAAATATTTTATTCTCGTCAGATCCGGCAAGTGGCGGTCCTCGGGCCAGACATTAGAAGCTAAATTAAAAACCAAGAAAAGGAAGAAGAAAAAAAAATTGATTCTCAAAATTGTTCCCAGAATCAAGAAGCTACTTTTTTTTTATTCTTGATTCTGCTCCAAAATCACAATTTTTGACAAAATTGTGCCCAGAATCAAAAAATTAAACAAACGCATTTCTGTTCCCAAACTGATTTTGGGAACAAAAGAACAGAATTAAACACTGTTTGACAAGTTGTCATGCGCAGCCTTAGAGAACTTTTTTGTGTGTCCTCGAAGCAAGATATTTCAGTTGTGGGCAAGATAATCAATCCACGCACAATGTGATTTCCAACTAAATTCACTAGCATGTTCAAGAAAGGGGTAAGTAACCCTTTTTTTCAGTAATCATTTCTTGTTTTCACAAACATGTGTAAAAAATGTTTCAAACTCTTTAAAAGAGCAACTGTTCACCTTTTGCCTCAACTCATGTCCGTGCTGGTGTAACTCTCATGCTACATAGAATTTTTTTTTTCACCATCATTACAGAGGTCCGAAGATAAAGAGTTAATTACCTCTTGAATAGCGACATGAATCTCAAATTGTGGCCCCTCGTAAACAGAAGAATTGAGGAGAGCTCCTCCAAGTGTAACGGAATGATCAACTTGCACAAAGCCTGGACACTGCAAATCAAAGCAACCTGACCCATCCGCCTGTGTTTTTGAACATGTTTAGAATGATTGTCCATTTTGGACTAGTTTAATTTTGCTCTTTGAACAATAGATTCAGCACCGGTTGGATAACCATCACGCATAACCACCCATGCCAAGTATCGTAATCATGTATGCAAATGACATAATTCTAAGTGTTATCGATACTCATCCAACACCGAATTCGATAATTTTCTTTTTCAAAAGCGGCATTCCAATGAATTAACAATTTACAGATTAAAAATTGATAATTAGTATGCTGAAATTGATGAAAGACGTATTTCCATATGCAAGTCACGCTACCAAATTACAATCAAATGAGCAATAACTACGAAGCCGTGATTCCATACGAGACAATAGAAGTTGGGGGGAAATGGAGAAATTTCCCTGTTATACATCTAGTTTTCTGGAAAAAAAAACTTATAGCAAGATAGAACTTACTTTCCAGTAGATAAAGAAATGACTACGATCGTCGTTGTATGAAATTGGATCCACCTATCATGACAAAATCCATCAAATCTAATATTATATAGCAAGAAATAATAAGAACAACGCCGAATATGGAAAAATAACGCACCTTAGAACAAATGAAATTCTAATCTCACTTTGAATATGTTCTTTTATTTTCTTTATTCCCATTCAAAAAGGAAAAAAAAGATCTTAATTAATTTGTACATCGGGAAAACGTACCCTCCATCCGACTTGTATCATGTTCGTTGGCCTTTTGATGTCGCTGATGACCCAAATCTGAGCTCCACTAAATTGTCCCTTTTCACACTTTGGAATGTAATTATCAATGAATGCTTTTGCTCCGTGGAAAGGATTACTGAAGCCTCCCAACTCCAGAAAAGCAAACTTGAAAAATTGAGAATGACATCATCAGTAAATGTAATTATTTTGGCCAATTATCGATTGACATGCGAAATTCACTATAATATGACACGTTAGGTTTTTAATAATGTCATATAATTACAAGAGAGCTAAAGATATGTCGAAGGTCATTTTACCAAGTCAAGTTGAATGCAAAACTACACAAAATTAATCGTATAATACAAGAGACAACAATTCATTATGATACCTAACTAAGGGAAGAACTTACATGATAGCCTGGATATTTAGTAGACAAAGGCGGATAGATCTGTGGACGTGTCTGCTCAACCAATTTGGCTCTCATCCGATCTTCCTTTGTCGTTCTGAGAATTGGAATAGTTCCATCTGAACAGCCCTCCAGAAGATGTGATCTCTCAAGTTGCTCAACTTGTGCTCTCTTTCTGTGCTTTGTTGCATTGAGCGAAAAGCTAGGCTTTTTCTGTCCACAATTTAGTTCATGCAATAATTTATGATTGAACCAATACTACTGAAATAGGGGCAGAATTTCATGGAAAATTGCACAATCAGTATGCAAGATGGTGTCTCCCCTCTTGAATGGAGGAGGAGCTAGCGGAGGCTGTGTACGATAGAGTAAGATCTATTGTGCAATTAACCCCGCAATTTCACTGATAAATCAATACTTGAAGCTTATGATCTTTCAATAAAGGATGGTCGAACGCTGGTTGTTTATATAGGTCGATACAATCAATGATCTCTCCGTACATTGTCTACGAACAACAAAGGTTAGTACATCGACACGAGTGACAAAGAAACTCATGCATAATAGTATATGTACATAAGCGTGCACCGGGACAAAATTCAAAATCAATCAAAATACCTTAAAGGTCTTAATCGGCCGCTTCTCTTGATCCGAGTCTTGTGCTTCAGCATTGGAACCAACAAAAAGGGCAGACCATACGACTGCAAGCAAAGAAATATTTCTCGACCCCATTGCATGAATCTCTGTGTTGCTATTCGTTTTTTCGAATGGAGAACGAATGCTCTGGAACAAGGTCGTCTCGTTTCACTTTTTAATGGAAGGTGATTGGATTATTTATGTTATATTATCGATTAATTTGTTGTTGCTCTTATACGATTTCTTTCCATTAATGCAAAAGTCTCATTTTCTATAAGGCGAATAAAATCAAGCAATTAATGACTCCACTTTTTTTCCTAGGTTGGGGTTTCCTCTCTTTTCCTTGAAATCGCTGGCAATCCCGTCTCCGAGGGAGGGAGAGACCTGTCTCCCTCTTTCCTCTTTTGACGTTTTTTGTCTTTCTTATCTCCCCGATCTGTTTTAAGAGTTTGTGTGTTTAAAGAAATTTCTGCAGCTGATCTTGGGTAAACGTTGAGACCGATTCAGCTATTTGTCCAGTCGACAGTCACCGAGGAGGATGTTCGTAAAGTGGCTCCGCAACCTCTCCGAGATTAGGCCGCTCTCCTCTCCCGATTTATATCGAGGTCAAGTTTTAGGGGTTTTACTCTCTCAAACTAGATCTAGATATAAATCTAGGAGCTTCTTACATGTATTTTATCTGTGTTCTTTCCACATTTTGATGTTGGTGCCGCTGCACAATGATAGTGATGAGGACGTAGAACCTAGACGCATATCGCAAGCCATTGTAAATGGAGTGTGAGATTTCGACGTGTGCTCATCACTGAATATGATGATCAGCCACCGAAAGTTTATGGTGATAAATCTGTTCTTGAGAGATGAGAATGTGCTTCTGTTTGCACACTTTGCTTTGTTATTTGTTTTTTGGCTTTTGATTTGTTTTGCAATTATTTGTGATTTTCTAGGCTTAAATGCCTTTTATGTATCTTTCAAGTGTTATTCTGATATATGAAAGACATCTTTCTTTCAACCAAAAAACAAATCACGCAATGTTGCACTGCACATTTTAGTGACTACTATAAAAACAATCGTGTAGTTTTTATTACCAAATTATTAAACGATCGTTGAAATTTCTTATAGATCGGATACCAATTTAAGACCCGATAATCAGATATTCAAGAGATATATATATCATAATGAGATACATCTATAATGAGTATTTGAATTTTAATTTAGAAGTTTTATATATGCTACCATTAGATTTGGCATTTGAATTATCCTAAGTGTGTTGATTCTATTGCACAATTTAGTCTAAAATCGATGTATAATCGAGACTAATAATAAGGCATACATTATTGTTCGCGCAAAAAATCAGAAAATGAAAGGATAAAAATATTTTTTTAATCACTATCGCGCAGGATTCCATTTTCCTAAAATGCTCGTAGTTAATTGATTGAGAGGTGTTTACACCAAAAAGTGATCGGGTCATCGACATGTGATTAAAGCAACCAGCGTTGTTAGATATGTGACCAGTCAGTGTCGATGCTAGTGTGTATAGACAATTTTCGCCAATCTGTTGTCGATATATGATGGCGAATGAGTAATGATTATCAATAAGAGTACCGATTGATCCAGATGGATGAGCAATCAAAGTATTAAGAGAAAAAACACATCAAGATATGATTGAGAGTTTGAAGCCACTAGAGAATGAAGTGACTGCAATCGTGGGACAGTTAACATGCATTTTATAAGGGCAATCGCTTGGAAACAAGATCATGGTGTCACGAGAACATGGGCACAAGACTTTCGAAATTGAAGAAAATGGGCATAACCGCTAGACCCACTCAAGAACAGTTACGGCACAACCACAATAAATACAATCACCTATCCACTCAAAGTCTCCGGCCCCGCACAAATCAAACAAATTTACTATATTTTAGTATCTTTACCTTCCTGTGTCGTACTTTTATCTTTCAGACTTGCGTCGTCGATTAAATTCCGGCACGTATCTCTATTCTGGGTGTTGCATCGTCAATTAAATTCCAGCGTAATATTTTTTCGCTCTCAAGCTTTATCGTCGATTAGGTTTCAGCAGAGTTGTTCGCTTGTAATAACTATACCAGATACCTGATCCGTGAATGCTATTACGAGATACCTCAACCGTTTCACTGTAAAACCAACGAAGAAAGAGGAAAGGGCATCGACCAACAATTGACGATTTAAAATTGATCCCTATCCTTTTGTATCGGCCCCCTTTGTAGCTTGTCCTTCAGTATACTTACACTATTTATTTGGCAAAAGCACATCACAAGTGCCATAACTTGTGTACGGAGATCACTTTGGTGCCATAACTTTTTTTTGGATCACTTTGGTGCCAACTTTTTTGAAAAACGATCACTTTAGTGCCAATGCTGACATGGCCGCCGGAAATCTGACATGGCTATTTTTTTATTAATTTCCGATGCTGACATGGCTCGCCGGAAATCTGACGTGGCTCTTTTTTTGGCCGGAATTTTGGCCGGAGTCACTAAAGTGATCTTTTTTCTCCGATTTTGGCACCAAAGTGATCCGAAAAAAAGTTATGGCACTAAAGTGATCTCCGTACACAAGTTATGGCACCAATAGTGTCCTTTTGCCCTATTTATTTGCTAGTCGGCCGCAAGGCTTGGTTTCCATCAACTCCGGTACTTCGCCAAGGGAAAAGAAATGAGCCCCAAAGCATAGGGCTTGATATGATGGGCTAAGCAAGACCCAATCCAAATTAAATAATTTCACTTCTAGGCAGTATTCTACATTTCTTATAGGGATAATGGCACAAACAATCCATAAACTTTGGCTCAATATGCAATGTAGTCCCTAAATTTTTAATTGATTCAATGTAATCCATGAACTTTAGCCTAATATTCAATATGGTCCTTGAATTTTTAATTTATTAAATAGTCATTGAACTGTATAAAAATGTTCAATGTAGTCCCTACACTTGAATTAATGGAAGAACTACGTTGAATATTTTCATATAATTCAGGGACTAAATTGAACATGTACCAAAAAATTTAGGGACGACATTGAACAAATTAAAAGTTCGGGGACCACATTGAATATTAAGCTATCACATTGTACATTGGGCCAAAGTTCGGAAACTGTTTGTGCCATTTTCCCTTTCGTACCTCTCAACATATCATTTGACTTGAACCCCCCAGAAAATAATAATAAGGGTTAATACCACATAAACCCCAAACCGATACACTAAACTAATTTGTTGACCACGGAAAACTCTAAACTAGTACACTTGTGACAATTTTACCCTCCGTTAGTTTCCGTTAAATTTTTTGGTCAAATTGCTGAGTTGGATGATAAGTGGCAGTTGACGAGTTTACCGGTTTGGGGTTTTATCCTCCGTTTGTCATAGGTGTACCGGTTTGTGTTCGTGATATTAATCCAATTTAGCGGAAACTAATAAAGGATAAATTTGTTACAAATGTACTAGTTTGGAGTTTTTAGTAATTAAAAAATTAGTTTGGGGTAAATTCGTTATAGATGTACCGATTTGGGATTTTATATTGTCAAAAAATTAATTAGGGATAAATTTATTATAAGTGTACAAATTTGTGACTTTTCGTGGTATTAACCTTAATGAAAAACGCTGGCTCTTTTGGTACATTTGTTGACTCGCGAGACTAGCCTTGGAAATTCCCGGAAAGAGCGTCGATTCCCGGGCAGGAGCAAGTCGCGCATTTCCGGCGCACGCCCCCCTGCCGATGATTCCACACGCAATTGCTGCGTGAACGGTTTGAATCAAATCAACCAAAGAATCTCTACATAAAAGCTATGATAAAGATCGCTGCCTTGCTGATCACTAAAACGTGTTTGCGAAACCGAAGTTGTTTGACGAACGAAGACACCTTTCTCGAACCAATTTCGTTCCCCGTGTTTCCACGCCTGTCAGTTTCAGATCGTGCAAATAAATGGCCAAGCGAGAACAACGTTACGTCGTAAGCATGTGCAAAGCAGGGCCCCTCTTCATTCGAACAACGATTTGAAACTTGCTGCTCCGCTTTGTGAACTAGCCATATGTGTCGATCTTCCTAACTAGCCCTACGAAATGGTCCTTCAAATCTTTCCATCCCGCCAGAAGTTGTCGAATAATCAAACTTATGGTCACGTAATCTAGGTGCAGCGCGCATATGGGTGCATTAAAACCGTACATCATATTGTGTGTGCACGCGCTAAAGTATTGTCTCGCATCGCTTAACAATGAGTTTTAAGTACCTTTTATATTCACGTGGACTTCCTCCGCCTAACAGCTTAAGTTTTTTAGTTTAACTTTCTAAACCTTTCGCGAACGTGCGTCCACTCCCCATTAGTCGAATTCCACGCGCCCCACTCGTGATACGGCTTGCGCCCACTCGTAATCTGGTCTGCACGCGAGAGGGAGAATGGTCCCAAATACTTTATATATTTATGCGGTCTCTTTCTGCTTGTTATCTTACGGTTTAAGTTTTTGAGTTGGACTTTCTAACCGTACGTATGTTGAGTGCACCTCACCATATGAAAATTCATATTCGAAAGAGCTAGTTTGACAGCGGGATCAACGATCCAACTCTCGGTACGGATTTAGAAAAGGAAAAAAATCGATACATCTATGGTAACAGATCATCTAGAGGCCAAGTACTTTGCCCTTAATTATTTTAAGTGTTTCGTGGACACGAGAGACCGTTCAGTCGTGGGAAAATTCAAACGAGGAGACAGCAGGAACACAAGTACCCTTGGAAGGCTCGTGATATGGGGGGTGTTCTAAGTTTCAAGTTCCCAAATTTCAAATTCAACTTCTTCTTCTTTCGTTTTTTCTCCTTTGGGGCCCTTTTACAATTCCATGGGACTCTTCCAACTTCCAAAGCCTTTGAACGACTCTTCCAAGCACCGATGAAGCATCAAAAGAATCAAAGAACAGCCCCCCACACATTTTCCATGTCAAAAGTCAATCCTCTGTTTTTTTCCGCCCTTAAAAAAAAAAAAGAAGGGTCAAAACCCACCCAAATCAATCCTTTTTAATCCACCCTTTTTCTTTGACCGAAAAAGAAAAATTCCACCCCCTTTTTCCCTCCATTTCCACATTTCTTTTTTGCCCCTTTTGGAAATTACACGCGGAATTTCGAAAAATCTTGAAGAACGCAAACCAGAACGAACAAAAATCAAGTGCGACAAACCCAGGTCAATAAGGAAGCGGGGCCCAACCACTGGGGATTGTCCCGATGGCCACCCTTCCTACTTGGGAATACGAAAGTGTGGAGTTCAATTCCGCACCCTCTCGGGGGCTAAGGGTGGGGACGTATAATTTCAGATGTGAGTTTCGATTCTCAAGCTCTGCAAAGAGGCAGAGCAAAAGTCTGAAAGTGAGTAGAGAGTTAAAGTATAGCATATTAAAAAAAAAAAAAAAAGAAAGCGGGGCCCCGTAATTAGTGGATATGGGGGCTGATTGACGGGCCGTAATGTGGGTCCGGATGGCTCGAGTGGGTGGTCCGAACCGGCCCCGACTTTAAAAGATAACCATCTTTTGGAAACTCCACCCAAAATTCCCAAAAAGAAGAAGAAGAGAAAATCAAGCTTTTAACCCCATTGGCCTCCGAAGCAAAAACTGAAGATCTGCTTAACGAACGACCGCACCCACCTTTTGTGTTTTTTTTCGCCTTGTTCACGTCCTTTTCCCAAGTCAAACTAATCTTTTAATGCCTTTCTCATTCTTTAACCACATGCATCCCCTTTCGCCCTTTCCCCTTGCTTTTCTAAGTTCTCACGATCATTTTGGCTTGTGGTGGTGGGGGGGGCTAATCATTCGATCAGGAGGCGAGCATGTTCACAAGCCAGCCGCGAAGCTCGTTGAGGAGTCCGATGGGTACTCAGCTGCCGCAGCCCGCGACGGCTAGGGTTTCTCCGCCGCGCCCATCACCTCAAATTTAGACCTCCCGTGACAAATTTCTATTGCCATCATTGGAAATTAAGATCGCTTAGTCTAATCAACACAAAAGATGCGCATCCCTTCGCAACGAGACCGAAGAACGCGATCCGAGGTAGTTTCGGCATGCACGTATATCCACTCTCACCTTAAGAAGAAAGGATGAATTGATTTCACGTAATCATTATCGACCAGCAGCTTTGAGTTTAATGAAAAGAACGAAGCCCATTGCAATTGTTCGTAAAAAAAAAGCGAGCGATAAAGTAAAAATTCCGTTTTAGTTAATCACAGAAAAATTCGGGATAAAAAATCACGAAAAATTCCAAATGATGCCAATCGTGACACATTCGTCCTTAATTTTTTTGACATAAAAAATAAAAAAACTTATACCTATGTGATACATTTACCCTCCGTCAATATTCATTATATGATTTTTTTAGCAAAAACAACATGGTTTCTATTTCACTGAAGCCACGTGAGTGGCAAATTAACACCGTTTGCTTTTTGGCGCCATCTAGGCATCTTTTTAACCGTTCTCATTGACAAAATCTTGATGAAGTGTGAATGTGTTACGTAAATATAAGTTTGGGATTTTATGTGTCACATGAAAAGTTTAGAGTATATGTGTTACGAAAAAGGTTAATTTAGGGTTTTTGATAGTTTATATCCTAATTTTTTTTTTTATAAAAAAAGGTAAAAGTGTGGGCGGGGGCGCCTGCGACGGCGAAGTGAAAAGGCAGCGGTTAAAAGCGCGTGATGGGAGGAGGAGGACGACGGCGACCCCCCCGGAACTCGAAGGAGGGCAGGCGTGCACGCACGTCGTCATCATTTGCATTTTGCGTTTGTTGTTCCGCTCACCAAACCATCCCCATCAAAGCATGAATTCTCCTTTCTACACCCCCTCACGCTAAAAAGCTCTAGCGGCTCAACCTCCCTTTCCGTTTGTTCCTTCCTTCCTCCCTTTGTTGATGCCGACGTGGCCCGCCCTGTCCCGTTCGAATGCGTCGAGTAGGGTTTCATCGCCCGCGACCCCGGGAAAATTGCTCGGAGGAGCGAGAGATACCGCCCTCAATCTCGTTTCAATTCGATCGGTTGGTTATGCCCGTTCGAAGCAATGACCTCGTGATCTCCCCGTGTCGGAGATCGGCGCGATGAGATCGGCAGTCGGATTGGTGAGCCGGATTAAAGAAATGAACGAATGAACGCCGCGCTTTGATCCGGCAGGCTAAGTGGAGCTCACGACCACACTTCACTCTGCACTGTTACCAAAATCCTACTGATGATTATTATTATTATTATTATTATCCTCGGAAAATTAATTGCAAATCTCGGACACGTGAAGAGGGGTAAAAGTGCGCAATTACTTAAACAAGTTCACCAAGCTCTACGTGCTTGCTGTCCTTTTTTTCTCCTTTCTTTTCTTTAATTAATCGCATAGAATAAGAACCTTTCCACTTTAGTGCTATTGATAACCCCCCAAAGATCAATCTAACGTAGACAATACGTGCTCCATGGTCACGTGCAAACCCTCTCTTTTTTCCCGGCACTCTGATCTCGATAGTAAAGAACCCGCGACGAATCATTCCGTTGCAAATTCATCCTGCGACGTAAAATTTACACGAGACCTCGTTCGTATATGTTTGGCCGTTCATCGAAACTCGGTACGACCTCAGCCCTAATTTCGGGTGAATAGATGATAGCCTTATTGCGTGCAAGCACCAGGAGCGAGATTAAGACAGAAAGGTACGAGCTTAGGTTTAAGTAGGCGAAAAACAAGTCCAACAAATATTGTGATTTCGCGTGAATATAACATTAGAAACGCGCGAAATTCCTCGTGGGCACCGAAATTCAAGACACGAGTCAAAAGGAAGCACGGGAGTTCGCATCACCACCACCACCACCATCCGAGGTCCTCACGTTGCTTGACGACTTCGCTTAACGTTAATGCCACAAAATTGCGCTCTCCCGATAGCTAAAACCCAAAATGTGGTTCCACCTAACGTGCGAGGAATTCCCTTCTCTTAAACGGGCGACTGGAAATTAAACATTCCCGTTTTTCTTTTCCAGTGAAAAATAAAACAAAAAGAAGAAAGGTATGTGTAGTTTTTTTTTTTTTTTTCGGGGTCCGGGTAGGTATGTATAGTTAGAAGAGTCCAGATTTGTGACGATCTATAATTATTTTTTTTTTAAATATTATTATTTCATTGATGGAGAAAAGCTCTAAAATAATGGAATGACAATATTCCCTCGAGGTTTCGAGATGGCATCCAACGTCAGAGGGGCTTAGGGGCTTCGGGGGGGGGGGGGGACACGTGGGCAGAGATGGCGACCTCGATTTCAGCGAATATAGCTGCCCCCGAAGGGGGAGACCGCGTGCCCTGGCAAGTGGAAGGAATACACGAAGAAATCGCAACATTAAAAAATAAAAGGGTCAATAATAATAAATAAATAAATAATGACTCGTCGCGCCCGTTACCGAGGGGGGGGGGTGGGGTTCCACGAGCTTTCTGCCCTCCTCCTTGCAAAACTCTCGCCATCTCTTCAGAAGGGGGAAAGGGAAAAAGATAGCGCGTAATAATTTCTTCTTCTTTTTTTATATTTTTTCCTTAGGTTTCCTTATCTCGGGTGGGTTCCCTTGCCGCGTCGTCCGAGAGAGGAGGCAGAAGAAAAAGGAAGGTGGTGGTGGGGGGGAAGAGGAAGAGATCGACGGAAGGCCGCGACCTGGGGAAAGAGAAACGAAAGGAGGGAAGGGAAGGGGAGGTGGCGGAGGGGGGGGGAGACCAGATCTGGAGCTTCGCGGATCTCCACGGCTTTCTTTAATCTCGCTGTCGCCCCACACCGTCTCCACGGCTGGATGATTTGAATGAGGCCCCTCGTAGTCGTAGGTCCCTAAGCGCACACATCCCGTCCCCCCCCCCCCCCCGTTCTCGTTCAGCGGAAGCCAAAGCAGCGTCGGTCAGGACCGGGAGCTTCCATTCGTTGCTGCTGCTGCTGCTGCTGCTTGCGGCATTATTCAAATTGGGTGTCCCGACCGCGATCAGTCTCTCTCTCTCTCTCTCTGCATGGACGGTCAGCATTCGATCCTCGCGGCTTCAACGGTCAGATTCCCTGTCTCCGTCCAGTCTCTCTCTTCTGGATTCTCCCCCCTTCTCTCCCTCGCTTTCTCTCTCTCTCTCTCTCTCTCTCTCTCTCTCTGTGTCATGTCCATAGAAGAAGTGTTTTCCTTTGCTTCTGTCAAATCGGGGCATTAACTGCTTTGATCGATGCCGCGTCGCTAGGTCGGGAGGGAGGGAAAAGCACTATTTAGGCGTGATGATGTGGATGTCCGTATGTGCATAAATGTGTCCGTACGCGCGGTGACGAGAGGCGCTCTGCTTCCATCTGTCTCTCTCGCTCGCGCGCGCGCGCGCTCGCTCTCTCGCTAGGGTTTTTGTTGATTCGGGCGCTGCGCCATTGCGTCGTCAGCTTCCCCTCCCCCCCTTCACTGCGATGCGGCTCGCTATGCTTTCCCTGACCCTTGTTCGATTGTCGTTCCGGCGCGCGCAGGGACGGGCACGATGACCGGGGCGGAGGCGGGGATCGCCGTGGTGGAGCGCAGCGGATCGGGGCTCGCGTGGCGGTGGCTATGGGGTGCGGGGGTTCCAAGATCGACGACCTCCATCTCGTGACGCTGTGCAGGGAGCGGAAGGAGCTGATCAGGGCGGCGTCGTACCACCGGTACGCCCTCGCGGAGGCCCACGTCTCCTACTTCCACTCGCTGGCCTCCGTCGGCGAGGCGCTGCGGAAGTTCGTGGACGAAGAGGTCGTCATCGGGACGAGCAATTCGGGCTCTTCTCCCGGCTCGCCCGTGCTCACATTGCCTTCGGAAGAGCGGAAACGCGGGAAGCCTTCGGACAGGGCCAAAATCTCGTCCTCTTCTGCTTCGATTTCTCACTCGGGTTCGCGTAATTCGCCGCCCGAGGAAGGCGATTCTCACCTGCATTTGTCGTCCGGTTCCGGTTCTGATTCTGAAGGGAGCACCACTTCCGGGCACATTCACATACGCGAGAGCCCCGGGGGAGAAGAGGAAGTCGGCCCTGATCCTGGCGCTTCCTCTACAAATCCTTATGGTTATAGTTACCCATACCCATATCCGCAGCCCGATCAGTACCCATATCCGCAGCCCGGTCAGTACACGTATCCGTACCCTGCTCCTTACGGTTATCCGCCAGGGGAAGGGGACGACTGGAATATGAGAGCAGAGCAGAGCGATTCGCAGACTCGTGTCTATTACATGAAAAAGGCGCCCACTCCTATGAAATCGGTGGTTTTTGAAGAGCCGGAGAAGTACTCCGTGAGGAGGGAGAATGCACAATGGCCGGATTCCGGGTATGGGTATTCGAAGAATTACCCCGGTTATGGGAATGGTGGCTTTTATGGTTATCCATCCATGGGACCACCGGATAGTGCTTATGGCAATGATAGAGAGAAGCCGGAGCAGCAGCAGCAGCAGCAGCAGCCACCTCCCGCTCCTCCTCCTTCTCCTCCCGGTGTATCTCCTTGGGATTATTTGAATGTTTTTGAGACGTATGATAGTGGCTATGCGTCTTATTATCCGAAGGGAAATTATGGGTATGGATCGACCACAAGCAGCCCAGATTCGAAGGAGGTGAGGGAGAGGGAGGGGATTCCGGATTTGGAAGATGAAACTGAGACTGAGATGGCGAAGGGCATTCACAAGGGGAGGAAGAAATTCGGTGAGGAAACAAATCGAAATAGGAATTTTGGCGAAGGTACTTCAAGAGTAGTGCCGCCACAGAAGAGGGAGGAGATTTCCAGAGAGATTCCATCTCAAAGGGTTGAGGAGAGTATGAAAGAAATACCTTCCCCTGATCACAAAAGCTCGGGATTCATCCCGAAAAACAAGGCTAAGACTAGTAGTTCTGATACTATTGTGTCCCAAAGCTCTCCGGAGGATTATTCCAGGAAGAAGGGAGTCAGTTTTGAAGTGGAGGAGACCGCCACACCGGATGTCGATTCTTCCAAGCAGAGTAGCTTAACCACTTTGTCAGCCCATGGTACGAGGGACCTTCAGGATGTTGTAAGAGATATCAAGGAAGAATTTGAGTCTGCCTCTGGCTACGGCAAGGAGGTGGCTGCATTGCTTCAGGTGGGAAGGTTGCCATATGAGTCTAAAGGAACCCTACTCAAAGGTAGAAACTTCTTATCCTTTTTACATTTCGAGGAAAGCTGTGATATCCTCAAGCTGTTTTATTCGGTAGATCCAGTTTTATGTGGCTTTACTGATACTCTGTTCACTTACTGCATGATCGAAACTTATGCTTGTGTTTGACAGCGATCTTTTCGAGAATTATGTATCTGGTGGCACCTTCCATGCTATCTTCACACTCTCCATCGAAGATATCGGCACGAGTAAGTTCAAGGAGAATGAAAATGGCACGAGCATATGTTGGGGATGCTGCCAAGGACTTCAACTTGGACTCAGGGACCATTTCATCAACGCTTGATAAACTTTATGCATGGGAGAAGAAGCTATATAAAGAAGTTAAGGTATGGATATCATTCACAATGGACTGCATCTGGTTTCTCTCCTCTGATGAGAATTCATGAATAAGTTTGCTGCACGTTTCATAGACATGCCACAGAAAGCTTTTTGTGAGAGGATGGTGTGCAATTCAAGTGATCCATGAACATATGAATCTATTTGTTTATACCATCGAAAGCTCTATAGCCAGTAGACACCCGTTAATGATAACATTTTTATCATTGTAAACATGAACTTGGAATACCAAGGAAAGTCCTGAGCTCTTTTTTTTTTTTTAACTGTAGGCGTTCTACTGCCCCATTTGTTTGATGCGGAAGGCTTTATAAGAGCTCTTCAAATAATTGCTATCAAAACGGCTTTAATCATTCGAGATTTCGCAGCCCCCTCATCTCATTTTTTTTCTTCTGGTTTAATGTTACTTTGCCTGGGAACTAGTAGTACGTCAAATTGGGATTGATATGTTGTTACTCTGCTTCGTCACCTTACAACTTCCTTGGTTTCTCTAGAATTCTTATGACATGGGCCTTTTTGAATTAGGATGAAGAAAAGCTACGGGTTGCTTATCAAGAGAAGTGCAAGAAACTAAAAATTCTTGATGATCGTGGAGCTGAATCTAGTAAGATAGATGCTACTCAGGCTTCAATAAGAAAGTTGCATACCAAAATTGATGTTTGCATCAGAACAGTGGATGCAATATCAAGCAGGATACACAAATTGAGGGATGAAGAGTTGCAGCCCCAATTGACTGAATTGATTCGTGGGTATGTCTTCTCTTTTTTTATGTAGGTTTTAATTGGAAACCCCAAATATCATAATTTGCCTAGTGTCTTTTAAAGGATTTTAAATGGCATTAATCTTTTTGTGGTGGGTCCTTTTTTCTTTTTTTGGGTGGATGGGAGTTTTAGGCATGCAATTATCTTATCAGTTCCGATTTCATCTCTGCATTGTGGGATTTTTTCACTTTTCTCTGTTACGGGGATGATTATAGGTTAAAACGAGCTTGGAAACAGAATGTGCGGATATCTTGCTTGTTCTTTAACAGACCAAAGCCATTAGACTGTTCTCTTTTCTACCTTTCTTGTTTCTTTTCCCTTTTCATATTTTTTTTTTTGTTTGGTGGTGGTGGGGGCTGCTGATGCTGTCATTTGAATTTTCAGCTGTGGGATGGTACATCCTGGACTAAATTAGCGGTCATGGATTTTTGCTTAAATTGATAAAGCCTTTTGTTGATGGTCAGCCTGCTTCCTGCCAAGTCAAATGTATTTGGTCATTTCTGCATTTGTTTGTCTAAGATTGAATGGTGTTCCAGAGGCTGTGTGAAATTAATTAATATTTATCGTTTGAGAGAATCATTTCATTGAAATATTTTTCATTCAAGAATTCTGATGACTCATCTTTGTCTAGAGGTTAGTTTACTCTGTGATATAGTTGGCGAAACTTTTTAAACTTACACCTTCTTTTGTAAACCATTGTGCATTCCACCTTCAATTCTGTTTGATGACAAATCTCAGAATGGAAAACTAGCTGTCTGATAGCTGAAGCTCGAGAAATGCTCCAAGGCCTGCTTGCTTTTATTTGTCTTCCTTAGGCATGAATGCAAAAAATAAAAAAACAAATGAACTTCTGAATGACTTGTACTACACTGGCAGAATAAAGAGTTAACAGCACCTTTTATGTACGATTAACAGAAGACATACCTTTTTCAGATTAATTGGGATGTGGAGGTCCATGCTGAAATGCCACCAAAAACAGTTCCAAGCCATAATGGAAAGCAAAGTTCGTGTTCTCAAGGTGAACACCGGTTCCCGAGGAGAGTCCAGTTTGAGAGCCACCGTGGAACTTGAGATAGAGCTTCTAAATTGGTGCAGCTGCTTTAACCAGTGGGTAAATGCTCAGAAATCATACGTCGAATCTTTGAATGGGTGGCTTCTGAGGTGCATTGACAGTAAACCTGAAGAAACTGCAGATGGAGTTGCCCCTTTTTCGCCGAGCAGAATGGGGGCTCCGGCGATTTTTGTTATTTGCAATGATTGGTCCCAATCAATGGAAAGAACTTCACAAAAGAGGGTAAACCATGCGATGTGTGATTTTGCTTCAAGAATCCACGAGTTATGGGAAAGACAGGATGAGGAACAACGCCAAAGGACCAGAGCAGAACGAATTTCTAAGGATTTTGAGAAGCAGCTAAGAACCTTACGCATGGAAAGAGGAAAGCTAGAGCACGATCAGGATACATTCTCTGAAAAAACTGCAGTGTCGAAGTTTCCATCTGAAAGTGGTGTTTCGCATTTGGATGATCTAAAGGTTGACTTGGATTCAATGAGAAAGAAGTTGGAGGAAGAGAGAGCTAGGCATAAAGCGACGATGAACTCAGTTAATGATGCAGCTTCGAATAGTCTGCAAGCAGGTCTGGTTCCAATTTTTGAAACTTTGGGGCATTTCACTTCAGAGGTTTTGAAAGGCTATGAACAGGTCAGGCTTTCAAAGCTTGTTTAAGAGTTCATGTTTCACTCGGCAATATTTTCCTCGGGAACAAGAAATCCTGCCTGCTATATGTACAGTAATCACCGTGCGGCTGCCTTGACCATGATTATGCGACCGGAGGGGAGACGGGTTAAGATTAGTTAAGGTAAAAGAGGATAGGCAGCATATAAGTGATATACAGTCGCTAGCGACAGTGTCTAGAAGAAATCTTGTGTTAGATATTGATCTCTCTAGCTCCCGATTCTCCTAGACTGTCTTATTAGTCTATTAGTTAGGTAGCAGAGGAACTCTGTACAGTAATTCATTCTTTTGTTGATTCATTGTTGGTGCGGTGGATGTATTTTGTAGTCTAGGAATGAACTTCCAGCATATGGATGGGAATTCGTTGCTGGACATGGGTGTGGATATGCTCAATTTTGACCAATGTATTTCATCCTTGTCAAAACATTCGCCGCACGACTACCCAATTGTCTCTCTGACTCACCCGAGGCTTTTCTCTTGGTGATGTGAATCTTTTGAGTCCTGTTACATATATTATTTGGCTGCATTTTCTTTTTTTGGTTACTGCAACATTCCATTGACGTGTAAATTTTCAGTCGTAGGGGAACGGAATTCATCCTTTATAATTTTCCATCCTCGTATTGCTTCTTCATAGTTTGCACTCGTACGCGTCAATGAACGATTTGTGCTGCTCTCAATACTCAATATCTCCGTTCTTCTGTCATTTGATCTCTTTTCCTGTCTATGAATCATGTGGATTACTGGTAGATTCATTATTGCTCAGCTGAGTGCAAACGGAATGATACAGGTACAACAGAAAAAAAGGGAAAGGATTATGTATGTTTTACCTTTAGGTTATAGCATAATGATAATAGGTATCACAAATGATTTAGCTTCACCATCCAAATCCCTAGAACTACTTCGATGCCATGTCTCAGAACGTCGGAGGAGTTTGGGACGAATCATACTTCAGAGGCCATCAATGATTCTCCAGCTTCGTAGAAATGAAACTACATCTCCACGTTCATAGGACGATAGCTTGCGCGATTCACTTGAAGATTCTTGTTTAGGTCATGAGTCGAGCTGTTGCGCTCTCGAGGTTGAGGATTTTCGGGATCATACTGTCGTCAGAGGCGATGCTGCTCCCGCACTGCATTTGAACGGAGTCACCTTGAACTAATGCTTGAGCAAGCGCAAAACTCCATCGTAGGTCAATGCTTGAGCCTGTTTCCGAATGATACATCTGCAGCAGCAGTGGGGAAACAAACAGGGTCCGTTAAAATTTGCCGAACAATACCACTGCAATAGCGACGGTAGTGGCTTCTTCGGAGAGTGTCCGAGAAAAAGCCGCTGCACAAGAGAGACAGCGGTGATAGGTAGGGGCTGAGTTGCAATAGTAAATATAGATGTAATCCAGTTTCAGTAGAGGGACTACATTGCAAAGTCGGGGGTTGCCTGTGCAAGGGAAAAATTGTCCAAAAAATCTAAGATATATTGCACTTTTGCCAATTCAGTTTTAAGCCTTTTAATTATGCAAATTGAATTCTTAACATTTTCACGTTTTGCCAATTAAGTCATCTGACCAATCTTGGCCAGAAATTACTGACGTGCACGCCACATGTCCTATGTGCAATGGCCGGCAATGACGTGAATTTTTAATAATATCTTTTCGAATTTATTATCGTTATTTTCTCTCTCTTTTTTTCTTTTCTTCTCTTTTCCTTCTTTACTTTTTTTTCTTTTCTCTTCTTTTCTTTTTTTTTTCTTCCCTTTTTCCCTCATCCGGCCTTGGGCGGCCCTCACTGCCAGCAATGCCAGCCAGCTCAAGCCTTGCCAGCTCAAGCCCGGGCGTCCCTTGCCTGAGGCTGACGAAGGTCAACGGCCATCGACAAGGCCCGGCAAGGGCCTATATAGGGAAAAAGAAAAAAGAAAGAAAAAAAATAGAAGAGAAGAGAAAAGGAAAGAAAAAAAAGAAAAGAGTAAAGAAGGAAAAGAGAAGAAAAGAAAAAAAGAAAAAAAATTAATAATAAATTTTGAAAAATATTAAAATATTATTTAAAAATGTCAACGTAATCGCCGATCAATGTTGGCCATGTCAAGCAAAACGGTTGACGTCCACGTTAATGATTACCGATCAAACTTAGCAGGATGGACTCAATTGATAAAATCTAAAAATATTAGTATTTATGACTGAATTAGTACAAGTACAATAAATTTAGGATCCTTTTAACCATTTTCCATGACTGAGTACCTCTCAACTGTTTGTTTGAATTTATCTTGTTTCAAGAGTTAAAATTCCACTCATTCCTACCTAACGGAGCAACTAAGAAATAGACCACTCATGAAAGGGCATTTTCCTACTCTACCTAAAACTCCTAGGGAGAAGGAGGGTAAGTAGTCAGTACTGTTCACAGCAGCTCCTAATCACCATGGATTCACATCCTCGATATACTTATGTTTTGTAACGGACAAAAAGGAAAAAAGGACACTAGGAATGTTATAACTTTCATACGGAGCTCACTTTCGAGCCAAAATTTTTCGTCAGATCACCGAAATGCTATTTAAAAAAAAAAAAAAATCACATAAGTGCGAACTCTGATTTTAGATGTCAAAAAACACACGTGTCAATATTTTAATAAATTTCCCATACCCACGTGGCTCGTTGCGCGTGCCCAGTCAGTGTTAGTAGCCCTAAACGCCAACGTCAATATTTTAATAAATTCGGACCAAGCAATTTGCTGCAACTGAAACTCCAATCAAGAGCCACATAACACAGAGAAAGCACTCAGCAGAGAACACCACTCCAAAACCCTAATTAAAACCAATTGTCCTCGTTCCCTCGTAGTAAAACATAGCAAAGGGGATGAACACAAGCATCGTGTCCACAATGTAGATTGAGAGCCCAAATCCTTCATCGAGAGGGTGAGGTTTCAAGTGCCATTGTAATCATGTGGCGGCAAGCATGCCGATTCGTGACTTCAGCCAGCAGCATGAGGATCGAGATGGCGGCCACCGAGAGGTCGAGAACCACAACAAACTTAGGGAAGTAGGCGGAGAACCACAATGAACTTTGTTGCTCAAATGTAAAATAAACTTAGCCTACCAAACGAGCTTCAACGAGTTTGCTGGAACTTTCTATAATGTTGCAATTGTTGGTTAACTCTTATATCCAGAAATTGTTGGTCAAGCAAAGCAAACATTCATCCACGGGTGTTTTTTGCAATTGTGTGTCGGAGGTAGAATGGCTCTTATGTGGTCAATGTGGTGGATGATGACTTTCCATTAAGTTTCGTGCTGCAATTTCTGATGAAACGGTCGGTTAAGCATCAATGGTTGAGTTTTTTGTGGCAAGTTTTGGCTATTCTGTGCATGGGATTGAAGGACAATACCTGTGTCACAAGTTCACAAGTGATTGTTTTGAGTGCCAATATTTGTTAAAAGTGATCACTTGAGTGCCAATTGTTAAAACGATCACTCATAGTCTTTAACTTTTTAAAAAGTGATGAGTTGGTTTCATTTTTTAAAACGATTCTACTACTGACTTGCAAAGAAGCATGAGAACTACTTGCTGGTGCAATGTTGTGCTTGCACCAGCAGCACAAACAAGTGTCGGTGCTAGCACAAAACTGCACCAGGCTTGCTGGTGTAGTGTTGTGCTTGCACCAACAGCACAAACAAGTGCCGGTGCAAGCACAACACTTTCCAGACTAGCTAGTGCATAACCAAACTTGCTAGTGCAGTTTTGTGCTTGCACTAACAGCACTAACAAATGCTGGTGCAAGCACAGCATTGTATCAGACTTTCTGGTACAGTTTTGTGCTTGCCAAGCTGCACAAACAAATGTTGGTGCAAGCACAACACTGCACCAGACTTGCTGTGCAAAACCAGACGTGCTGGTGCAGTTTTGTGCTTGCACCAACAGCATGAGACTGCGCCAAGCACAAGATTGTACCAAACTTGCTAGTGCAGTTTTTATGCTAGCACCAGCAGCATAAACAAGTGCCCGTGCAAGCACAACACTGCACTAGACTCGCCGGTGCAATGCCAGACATGCTGGTGCTGCCAAGCACAAGATTGCACCAATATTTGTTTTGAATAAGTTCAGCATACTAGCCAAAATATGGACAAAACATAACAACCATATGCATCACCAGCCAAAGCAAAACGAAAAACTGGAACTTCCAAAAGCATAGACAAAAACACCGTTGCCTTTTCATTCAAGTGCTTCTTTACATTCAGATTGACTAAATATCCATCAGTCAATCATTCAACAAACAATAACATACCAAAACCAACCAAAATCTAGATAAATACATAACAATCCCCATCAGTCAATCTAAATATCTCTTCCAAAAACACAATCGTATGCAGCACCCCTAATAACAAAACCATAGCTAGCACCCCCAATCGCTTAACTCGAGAACTCCCTCAGTTCCTTTTCCTTTCAATGGATTTTTTGTTTGATTCACAATCCTAACACTCACTCTAAGTGGAACCGGAACCGGAACTGCAGGTTATTGATATGGCCTATTGGTCGCATAAATCTTCTTCTTTGCAACAACCACTCTCACAATGTTGATTCTACACCCAAGACAAAAAAATAAAAAAAGGTTTTGGGATCACAATATAGAACGGACGACAACTTCACATGAGGTCCTCACAATCGCACCAAATCGAATAAATAATGACTGAATTTGTCATTTAGTGGACAGAAAATAACAACACACTTACCAAACACAATAAATCACTCACATTTTCCTTTGCGATATTCCTCCCTCTAGCACCAAGCCCTATTTTTTTCCCTCCAAAATCGAGCTCTAATTTTTCCTCCAAAAGCACCGAGCCCTAATTTCCCTCCAGATTTGAGCCCTAATTTTGCACGCCAATTGAGCAATTGAATGAGAGAGGATTATAATCACGAGCAGAGTGACCGGTGATTGAGCGAGAGTGAACGAAAGTGGACAACCATAGACATCGTTTATGAAGAGTCCAGCCACATCATAATCCACGTTGGACTTGTTTTTTTAATAAAAAAAAAAGCCATGTATGAATAATCATTTAATTAAAAAAATCCACATAGGATTTTTGGTCAGAATTTATCGCCTAAAGCACTTAAATAATCATTTATTCTCCGATTTGGCACTTAAGTAATCCGACGAAAAACTTTGGCATTAAAGTGAGTGCCGTACGAAAGTTATGATACTTTTAGTGTTCTTTTCCCGAACAAATAGTAATCGATACAGATATAGTTAGCATATTCTTTACTGATGTTCCGGATCATGTATATAACATGGAATTGGCCTTTTGCTTTCATGACTTCGTGTGTCGAAAACTTTAAGAACAGCCGCCCGATCCTTCCTAGTAATTTCTCTTCCAGTTAAGTCATAATCGAACTTTAGTAACTCACTAATGACAATGGTTAGATACAAATGATCATTTCAGTTCACTACGGTATACGAAAACCTTGTCCCTAAGTAGAGTCTACCTATTGGATTTAATTACCAAATGGCAATATCTTAATAACAAAGTGAAAATAGAAGGGAAACAGCAAAATGATTATCCCTTTCTGATCAGAAACATTAGGCTTTCCATTGCAGAGACTTTTATCACTGAACATATCTTTCCTTTCCTTTCCTCTCATGAACATAATAATAAAAAGGAACATATGTAATGAACAAGTAAAGATATGGGATGCGATTAGTCTAGAGGAGTTTCGCACTGGCAAACATCCCTACGAGGACACACGGCGCATTTTCGATCCACCGATTAGCTCTTGGTTATTATTATACCACTGCCAATCCTTTGATTTTGGGTCTTGTATCGGTTGGCTCAGCGGACATTGCCTTCCTCTTGGCAACATTATTGGTATTAGCGTTGCACTTGTTGGTGTTGTCATCTTTGTGGTCACTCTTCTTGATCTTCTCATCTTCACTATGGTCTATGCTGTCACCTTTGATGTCTTCACAAGGGTTAGTAAGAGACTTCAAAATGTACGGCTGAAGCTTCTCTAGATCTGCTAGCTGGACTGGTTTCAACAGGAACTCATCTGCTCCTCCTTCCAAGCACCTGTGATTAACAAGATCTTTGACAAAATTGTAAAGTATTACTATGCTAAAGAAAGACTTTTGCTTTTCACAGCAGAAAGCAACTCACATGTGGATTCTTGAAGGCACATTCTCTGATGACATGACCACAACCGGCACATCTTTCCAGTAAGATCCCTGAGGAAGTACCCGAGATTTTTAGCTAAAAGTCTATCCATGAATTCTAATTTTCGTGCTTATTTTTTCCCCCGTCCCCTCTTTTTAATTCATCATCCCTACTTAATCATCAATCAGTTGCAAGCACGGAGGAAATGCTATTGACAATTGCACATTTCCTTCTCAAATTCAAACAACTGAGCAAGCAAGAGAGACGCAGAGCGAGAGAGAGAGATTGAAGACGGGTGATTAAGTGGTTTGACCTTGACTCGTCTAAGCAAATCATAGCCGCTCATCCCGGGCATACAGTAGTCCGTCATGATCAAGTTGACTTTTGTCCCCTGCGCATATAGATCAGAATCATGAATCATGATCACGCTTCCACGTGTCAAACTGTGAATAAAGCAAAGCGACAAAAACTTCTGGATGACATGCGCATGTGATGAATACTTAATCGGTGTAATGAGAGGAATTAGGTATATGTTTTCCTATAGTGTACATGTAAAGAGAAAGAAGAGTCTACAAGAGCAAAGGATAAAAAAAGTCTAAAGTCCATACATGTAGGCACGAGTAATTTTTCTTTTGCTAGGTGAATAACGCATCACGAGCCTGGTCCCTATGCCACCGAGCCCAATGTTTGACGAGAATCGCATGTGAAAATTGATAATCCAATGTATGCATACAATAATGTGTTTAAGGTTTGGGCCCTTCACAGTCACAGAATTTGGGTACATTGGACAATTGATCAGATGTAAATGAGAAGTCTTAGATTAGCATGTCGAAATAATTCTCTTTGCCGACATGAACAGAATGAAATTCGTTACTTTTAACTGAGGCAAATATTATAGTTTTGTAAGAAAATTATGCTAGTAAAAACTTTTTAGCGTGCATAAGATTGAAACCAGTTAATAGAAGTTCCCATCTTATGAACATTGTCAATAACCATTGTTCTACTTTATCCACTTGTTGGCGTAGTTTTTCATCAACTCATTCTAATAGATTTAACCCAGTAACTGACGGTGTGACTTATACAAGATACCCGCCAGACAAAGACCTGGAAAAACGACATGGCCTAAGGAGTTGAGCTCAGGTGTGTCCTTTCTACTGCATGTAACTGGAGAGAGAGAGAGAGAGAGAGAGAGAGAGAGAGAGAGAGAGAGAGAGTCTTTGGATTCAATTAATCTCACCTCTTGTAGTGATGGCTGCAACAGAGAAGAAGAACCAGAAGCAACAGCACTGGAATTATCAAACCCATCCTGGGCATGTAAATTGCTGGGATCATCAAGCAAGCCCAGATACTTCAACGCCTTGTCCCCAGAATCCACACATGTCACTGCCATTTGCAGACACACAGACATAAATATTTAAGGATCTTATAAAATTCTTTAAAACAAAAGGAAAAAAAAGATGCCACAAGTTGTGGAAACTGAGATTATTCGATATCCTAGGTTGTTGATGATCACCTTCGTAGGATGAGTCCTTGAGGAGCCTCTCCAAGAGCTTCCTGTCCACGTGGCTGTCGTCCACTGCTAGCACGTGGAAATGCTGCCCTACTTCTCCTTCTTGCTTCTTATCTCCTCCTCCTCCTCCTCCTCCTCCTCCTCCTACTCCTTCATGTAGCTGCTGTTGCTGTTGGGTGTCTTCAACATCTGATTCAACATCTGATGTTAGCTCCATATAGATGTCTTACTGATGAGTTAAATCGCAAAACCAAAGGAGGTTGAAACTCCAAGGAGGGTCTCTTAGAATTTGCAGTTCGTGTTGATCAGGACCATTGGTCACTGAGAGAGAGAGAGAGAGAGAGAGAGAGGGTGGTGGTGGTGATCGTGTGCGGGGTTGTTCCGCATGAGAAGCAACTATTTGTTGCGGGAGTGGTCTGTGCTTTTCTTTTCTGCTTGTGATCTCCCTCGCTAGATTCTCTCCCTCTTAAGTCCCCCTTTTGGTACAACCACTTGTGATATCTCTCTCTCTCCTCTCGTTGGATTGGATTTTGTTTGATTGCCAAGGAAAATCCCAAGATCTTTATTCCCACTTTTGTCATAATTGGAATGTGGCCGGGTTGGTCTTTAAGAAAAAAAGGTTTTGAATTTCACGAGTAGATTCGGATAAGAGACTTTGAAAACTTAAGCAAGCGTGCTCAACTCACTTACCTAATTTCAAGGTCCGCTATTGAACTTCTCGTTGTTGTGACACTGCAAAAATTGATAAACTCGGACCAACCTGAATGTATGTTTTGTCTACTTTGAAAGTTATTTCAGAAAGCAAACCAGCTGTTTTTGTGTACTACATAAATCCTTTTATATTTCTCGTGGGAATCTAGTTATTGAAGTTAGATTAGTTTTCAGTTTTGGAGGTGGGGTCGATAATTATGAAGTAAATCTCCTCAAATCTGCTTCTGCTTTGCTAAAACTGGGCTAGGAAAATTGGTTCCAACTGATGGATACAGTTCAGACGTTGCACCTGTTGTGGAATGAATAGAGGTTGGGCAATGCCTTCTTTTTCCTAAAGAAATTATCTTTTTCTAGCTCCAACCCCACATGCAAACTCGTTATGATTATTGTATTTCAACAAGTGCAGAAAAAGGTTCGACATGCAATTATGCAAAACAATAGAAAAGTGTTAAACAGCAAAACAAAAGTTTCTGATAGTTACAGAGAACAAAAAGAATTAGCTATAGATTTGTTTAAATGGGTTATCTATGCATATGCTTCTGTGGGAGAATCTTAGAAGGCATTTTGGTTGTTACAAGTAGTTTTTAGGGTTTTTCAATTCTTTTGAGATAGTTCGGTAGCGCATACGAACAATTGTGATATTCTTTTCCACACATGCGATTTTGAGATCAAGATTCTTGTTCATGTAAGCGTATACATGTCTTATTGTAGTTGTATGATGATGTCCTATAAATGCATAGGCGTGCCAATACAAAGGAAAGGTTGAAATAGTGACACCTTGAAGCTTTCTAGGAACCAGTTTTCAAATACTGTCCGCCAACACGCATGCGGCCCTACTGGTAAAGAGATCGGGGGAGTGGGGCCAGAGAGTACTAGGTCTGGGGTTCGATCCACTCCTTGTGTATAAGCTCGTGAAGTGTTTGTGACCACCATTTAAAAGCTGAAATTCCAACTTCATGTTGACTGAAATCTCTTATGTAAAAGCTTGAACTTTCATCTTTCTCTAATGAAAACTAAGAAAGATATGTGAGATAAGAATTTCATTCACTATCTCTCTTTCATTTACTAAGATCAAGGGAAAATTTCAAGTAAGGTAAGCTACTCATTTAGATATGGTTTAAATGTCTAGCCACCAAAACCAAGCGGCTATGAGATTCTTGGTGGCTTACGTAATTATTGGATGGTGACCTATCGGATCTATTGGTCAAGTATAGATCTTATAATATCTCGTTCCTTGACCATACTGTCTGACCACAGTTTAAATTGCTTAATGTTAGGCAGTCCCACTTTGCACTTTCTATTCTATTTTCTGATATGGCCACTTTCCATTCTCGGAAATTCATGAATGGTGTTCAATAACATTATTACTTATGCCAAAATTAGATGCGCTCACCTCAACGTACAGACAAATCTGAAATCACGGTACAAAATATATGAAATTCTATGATTTTTCACTTGTACAGGTATTTTTAGATGTGATGACTGGATATCTTATTATTGAACGAGCTTCACCGATCGATCAGATGGACGGCTAATCAAATATCGGATTTAATTATTGCCTTCATCTCCTCGATTATCTTTGATATCTCTTTTGATAAGGTTTCACTTGACCACTTTGCCGAATCTTTATACACGACAAAGACGATCTGAAATGGCTTAATGAAGACCTGAATATCATTGTTACTTGTGCAGAAATTAGAGGCATTTACATTAATGTACTGACAAATCACGGTATATAATACATATAAATCTATGATTTTCCTTTTATGTGTATTGTTATTTTAAATGCAATGGTTAAAATTCTTGTTATTGAATAAGCCTATATACTAATTTCACCAATCGATTATATCGACAACTAATAAATATTGGATTTAACCATCGCCTTACACCTCCTCAATTAACTTTTGAGATCTCTTCCGATAAAGTTTCGCATGGCCACTTTACCGAGTTTCTATACAAGACAAAGACGACCCGAAACGGCATAAAGAAGACCTCAATATCATTATCTCTTTCTATGATGAACTATTACATTTAAATGTAATGACCAGATATCCTGATATCGAATCAGCTCACATACTAATTTCGCCGATCGATCGGATGGGGAACTGACCAAACATCCGATCTTATTACCGCCTTCGCGTCATCAATTAAATTTCGAGATCTCTTCGGCCACTTTACTGAATCTCTATACGCGACAAAAGATCGATCCGAACCGGCTTAACGAAGACCGCATTGAAGAGGCCCCCCCCATTTACCTTCCCAAAAGAACAAAAGAAGAGATGGGAGAAAAAGCAAATTCCTCCACCCCCACCAGCCTGAATTTGCCAAAAGAAACGATCAAAGGCATGAGAAAAGACTTAAACCCTAATTGTGGGTAAACAACCCTTGCGTGACTCCCGCAAAATTATCAAGACTTTGAGTGCTGAAAAGGGGGGGAATGGGTGGGGGCCACCACCGGACCGTCCGACCACAAACAATATGCAAAAAGACATTAGAATCATCGGATGTGTATTTGGCACGAAGTGAATCTCTGTGTGATCATAGTGAAAGGGGACATGAAACAAATAAAGTTTGGGGGGATTGGCCCCGGCGGGCCCGGCGGGCAATATTTTCTAAATCTTTTGTGGGGCCCCATTCTCCCTTCTCCTTCCTCCCCCCAAAAAAAAAAAAGGGTTTCGAATCTTATATCGTACGCGAAAGGAGCGTGGGAGAGCACTAAAAAAAATAAAAACAGTGACGCTCTTCTAGACTCGGTCTCGCTAGGAAAAGTGTCAGAAAAGCCATCAACTTATCACATTCATGCCGATATAGTCTACGCCTTTTAATCGTGTCAATTTAATCTTAAATATTTTGATCTGATGTCAATTCAGTTATTCTGGTTAATTTTGACTGGATATTGCTGACATGGACGCCAACCGATTTACGTAGCATGGACAATTTTTAGTAACATTTTTTCGATTTTTTAATTATTTTTTTATGGTTTTTTTGCCTGTCTTTTTTTTTTCCCTTTCTTTTTCCTTCTGCTAGTGACCGACCACCGGCCATGGCTAGGTGGGCTGGCCTCGCTTGGCGAAGGCAAGCCTCAGCAAGAGTTGGCCTCGCTAAATCTGGCAAGGGGAACCCTCGCTAGGGCTCGCCCTCGCCTGTGGCGGGCGAAGGCAACCCTCGCCCGAGCGAGGCAAGCCCGCCAGGCCATGGCCGGTGGCTAGCCATTGCCTATGACTGGTCACTGGCAAAAGGAAGAAGAAAGGAAAATAATAATAATAATAACAAAATATTAAATAATTAATAATTAAAATTACCCATAACGTAAATCAGTTGGCATCCATGTCAGCAAATACAAAAGGTTTAGAATTAGATTGACACAAATGTAATAAATTTAAAACTTTTCTAACATTTTTTTTTTCCTGATTTTACGTATTACTTGATCAATCGAATTTCGCAAGACCATATGAATTAACACGTAATTTCACAAAAAAACAAAGCACGATACATTTACATCGATCATGTGATGCGATTTAGTGTATTGACGTAATGATGGACTGAGTCCCACACGGTCCATTTTTTTTCGATTTCGGTCAAGACTAAAGTGGAAAGTCTCTCATCCGCATGGCTAGCTCTTCAAAAAACAAAAAAAAAAAAATCTCCTTTTTTTCTTTTTTCTTTTTTGATCCTCCGGTGAAAGAGAGAGGGAGGTTGGGTCCCACCCAGTTTGTCTGCCACGTGTTGCGACCACATGCGGGGAAGTCATGATGGCGCGCGCGCGCGGAGGAACAGCGGAAAGAGGATCGTGGACGTACATCGGCCGTTCGATTGCATCACGTCCAACTGAGGAATGATGCTTTCTTTATTCGTGGTTCCTATCCTGGGATAAGAAAAAAAGGGATGGCCACCGACGTGGTGGGTGGCCCACAAAGATCTTTCCTCTTTTCTTGTTACCTTCAAATAATATCTGGGAACCCGACCCGACCGGTTAGGTAACCCGATCAATGTCCAGCCTTGACACGCCGAAGTCGGGTCATTATCGGGTCGGCATCGAGACCCTAGCCCCTTGATCACGCCTCGGGGACTGTAGTCTGATATTGAATTCTCGCTACTTTAGCGCGACAAATTCGTCGAGTCAACTGATTTCTCAAAATCGAGAAAGTTACTTATCTTATGAAAATCCAATCAATCACTTCTAAATTTGCGGAGCATGTGTTTACCGACTTCACCCAATTTTCCTTAACCTGTTTATTCACGTTGTGAATTTGGAGATCTTTTTCCCCCCAAGAACAAAAGCGTACATTCTTTCGAAAATATCAGGTCACGAGCATTCCAATCGGACCCTGCGATATAATTATATTGTGTTACGTACTCAATTGAACCGCCTCATTTCCCTAATCCTGCCGAAAGGTCGCTCCAACCAGGGGAGCACTTATTCAGCATGTGAGAATTCAAACGATGGATTCCATGAATTCAAACGTCACCCATCCAACGTAAACGCGTAAGAAAAGGTTTTATACGGCAGGTGAAGGAATAATTATCCTAATTTTATAACCTAATCCACCAATCAACATGGGCTAACCTAATCATATGCATAGCATACTACTTACACGCAAGAATCTCCAATTGCACGGGTGATGGAAGCAATCACGAAGTGCCGTGTCATGATCTCCGATTTAGCCGGGATCGTCCCCGACCCCCAAAGGGCCAAGGGCATTAAAACGAGTGACTTTCTTTACCAATAGATTCATTGCCCTATTTCCACGTCAATTGATCTTTCTTTGGCTAAATA